AGTTCTAGACAGTTAGAATTACAACAGTTTTGCATCAGCTCAATGTTATTTTGTAATACTAAGCAGTCATTTATATTTTTAAATAACTTACTATCATCCGCGTAGATTAGAAATTTAGTGTCTAGATGCTGACCTATGTCATTAATAAAAATAATAAAAAATAGCGGTCCAAAAATGGAACCTTGTGGAACTCCAGAGTATTGAGGAAAATAATCGGTTTTAGAAGATTTTTCTTTAACATATTGCCCCCTGTCATATAAGTACGATGAAAATAATTCGTGCAGATCATGCGAAATAGACACCGAATTCAGTTTTCTAAGTAAAATTTTATGGTTAATACGATCAAAGGCCTTAGAAAAATCGGTGTAAATAACGTCCACCTGTCCATTTGTATCCAATACCTCACTAAAAAATTGTGTCGCCTCGATTAGGTTGGTTACTGTCGACCTACCACTGACAAAACCATGTTGCTGAGGAATTACGTAATTTGAAAAATGAGCATAAAGTTTTCGGTTTATACATATTTCAAAAATTTTACTAAAATTACATATGACTGCTGTGGGTCGGTAGTTCTTGATTACTTTCTATTTATTACGGAATGTGCTTGTGCGAATAATAATATTAAATATTTGACAGCTAAAATTATATCACATTCGGATACTTGAGTAATAGATAAGTAGTTGTGGGAGAGCCCTAGTGGGACATTGGGAGTATTGTCAGGAGATGTGTGATCAGAGAATGAGGTTGAAAAGAAACTAGCAAAAGAGGAAGCAATGTCGGAGGAATTATCTAGATGTTGTTTGTTAAAAATCATAGTATCTGGAATGGTCGAAGAAGACCTTTTTGAGTTGTAATAAGACCAAAACGCGCGTGGATTTGTTTTAATGTTATCTTCTAGCGTATCCATGTATTGTTTGTGAAGAGTGGAACTTAAGTATTTAAATTCGGCTCTTAGCTCATGGTCGACCGAATTACCAGATTTTTTTGAAATTTCTCCATGCCCTTGTTTTTTTGTTGAGCATGGAAATTAAATGCCCATTGAACCATGTTGGGTAATTTTTTTTGCGCTTGAAATTTTTTAGGGGGATATATTTAAGAAATATATTATTAATACAATCATGGAAGGCGTCTACTGCAGTGTTAGAGTGTTTAAAAGGCACTCAGAAAGCTGCGCAGTGCGACCATTCTTCGTATAGTAAAAGAAAATCAAAGTATGTGGTTTACGTTCATAACATCACTTCAACTCTCTATTTTTAAGTGATTTTCTTAAATTAAAAGGTGACGTAATGTGTTAAATTTAATTTTGATGATCCTTTTTAGTGCATTTTGATACGCACATGTGGGCGCCAAAGTGTCAAATATCACCTCGCTATGCGGCTTGATTTTGTTGATCAGCTTTGTTCTTCCAGTTTAGGGTATGGTCCGTTATTAACCGACTACTAACCGCAAGGAAACAGGATTTTTGACAGCGGTTCCTGAAAAAAACTAATTTCTTTGTTACATTTGGACCACGGCCGAGATATACAGATTGACATTCGACTTAATGGTAACCGTAAAAATATAGCGGTTAGTGAATTGACATTTGAGTCTCCATTTTCAGGTAACCGCGTCCATAATTTAATCGATTTTTCAGGAATGTCAAGCAGAGCGGTTAGTTTTGGACCGAGTAACCGATATTTCGGTTAATAACGGACCATACCAAGTGGACCATACCCTTAATATATAGTTCAGTGATTCTTCGTTACGTTTCCCACGGGCGTACTACAACAAGGGGCCTATTCAGTAACCCTGAACGACAAGTGAACGACGTCATTAATAAACGATAATCGTTCACAGACGACTTTTCTTATTCAGTAGACAATGATTATCGTTGAAAATAGATAAATATGTTTGCAAGATTGTCGTTCATCAACGATAGCCCCTGAGCTATCGTTAATATTATGAAGTGTCGTTATAGTGATTTTTCCATCCCCTTTCATTTTTCACTGTGATATAGGATGTGTTCTAAATAATAAAAGCATTTTTTTACAAATGTTACAACTAAATGGTCATGGTGGTGCGGGAAGTGACAGCGTTGGGACGTAGAAAGGTAGGGAAGTAGGGCTGCGGGACGTTGAGTGTTGGGAAATTGGGCGTCGGGATATGACAGCTTCGGGGAATAGGATGTATTGTAGAATATACGTCGGTTAGGGAGAGCGTCGATTTAGAAAAGATATCGAATACTGAACTTGAAATATAACTGGATACAAAATAATAAATTAATTAATGAAATAATAATCTGAATGAATATTACAAAATAATAATGAATGCCTCGGGTTCGGGTCTTTATACCCGTTTTAATAACTTTTTATGACGTCACTTTGTTGTAGCTTTGGTGGGAAAAAATTTGGGTGAAAAAAAAGGGGTGGTAAATTTATTATGTGCCTTGAGAAATTCTCGGAATTTTGTATCGAAATCTTGTCGAGATTGGTCTTAATATTCGAAACTAGAAAGATAAGCGCGTAAAGTGTTTTAATGATTATTAGTTCGTGAAAAGAAATATGTTTATGGAGGTTTTTGGATCGAATTCTTATGAGATAACTTTTGTTTTTTCTGTAATATTAGACCTCGCGAACAGAAAACATAAATATTGCTTTTATTTATTAAGTATCATAGTTCGGATTTAATTATCTAAAAGATTTTTCGTAAATGTAGGAATTTGACTTTAATAAGAATGCAACTTTTCTTTAATAAAATAGAATTAATAAATTATGAAGGTACCTGGGTGAGGTAGGAGGTAGGTTACAGTTGTATTAATATATTTAATTTTTATTTCATAATTAGTTTAATTAAACCAGTAAACTTAAACTAAGGGTGAGATTACAGAACGTCTGCAACTTTGCAGATCTGCAAATATGGCGGCAACTTTGAAAATCTGCAAATATGACTGACTTACACATGCAAGTATCAAGTTTTCGTATTCCAAATTTGGGTTTAGTGTTGTTGGGGGTAATAAACCACAATAAATATTGCGAATTTGCAGATATTTTTTGGAATACTTTGCAGACGTTCTGTAATCTCACCCTAAAGAGATACCTAATTTAAATCAGATTTTAATATTTTTTGTGTTAATCACTAAAGCTAAGCTTTCGAAAAATTATTGACGTATCAAAGTCAACTAGATTAATATATAAAGAATTTTATTTATTAATATCTAGGTGGACTATTCACCATTATAGACTTTAGCTTATATTCCGTTAGGAAAAAGATAAGACCCGATTTTTACTGTTTCTTGTTAGAATTGAATTCTCTTTCTAAATAACGTATAAAAATTATAACATAACATTTAAATTTTTCACGAAAACTTCGAAAAAATGGTTATTGTTTAAACAACGTCACCTAGTGCCCGTTTAAACAACTGAATCAAAACTTTATTGCAATATTTTACTAAACAATCAATTTGCTTTTAATAGATACTAAGTTTCTCAAAATTTGATAAACGACACCGTATAGTTATTAAATTGAGGTTCACAATCGCCCCTACGAGTTATTTTTTTGAATACAGCAAAAAGGGTTGGATAAAACTTTTCTAAAATTTGTTCAAAATTTATTTTACATACTAGCTAACCGACCGCCGGCGGTGCTTGCATTTGTTGAAAAGAAAACCGTCTTCCGGCGGCATGGTCTTCTTCATACAGGAAAGCCGCCGCAAATCTAAACTGATTTGTTGATCAGGGCGGCATGCTATCATTGAATTGAAAAATGCCGCCGGACGACGGTCTACTGTATTTAAAACATTGAATGCTGGTGGTGAGAAAAATACTTGTAAAATCGTCTACATTTTTGTGGCAAATGATATCATATGTCGTACGCGTTTTATTTGTACATCGGTCTCCTTTTGACAGAGTAGATATGAGCTGTGTCCATGCCGTTGGTGTTTATGCCGGTCGGCGTAGCTAGGTATGAATTGAAATTTTATGGTGGCCACTTTACGAGAAGACGTTACTTCGTCGTCTTGTTGTCACGGCATTATTATTATTTGTTCATGTATGTGAAATTTGCTTTTAAGGTTTATAAAATACTACTGCTAGTAACGGCGTAAATGAAAACAAAGAAGACGCATTCACACAAACACCTCCCACCACAGCAATTACAAATGATTAGTGTTGTCCCCGATACACGAGTTTTTTCCGGCGGCATTTAATGTTTCAAATACACTAGACCGTCGCCGTCGTCCGGCGGCCTTATCAATACTCTGATAGTCTGCCGCCCTCATCAACAAATCAGTTTAGATTTTCGGAGGCTTTCTTATATGTGAGAAGACCATGCCGCCGGCAGACGGTTTTCGTTTTATTAAATTCAACTACCGCCGGCGGTCGGCTAGCCAGTACGTTTATTTTATTATTATCATACTATTATTGGACATTTTAGAGGGAAAAGGGCCTTTTTGCATTGCCATAGCGAATTACGTACTCTAACTTATAAAATACCTAGACAGTTGAAAATAATTTCCAGTATTTTCTCTTGACTGACTTTGTTATAATTTTTTTTAAAGCCTTAGGATAAATAATTTCTGAGATACAGCCGCTAAGAGTCCTTGTCAGTACATGAACCCTAAATATATTATTTGACAGTATGAAATACTAGTCAAAAATTTAGTTTATTATTCGTGCAACCTTATAATTGGGCATGTATTTATTTGTTAGGATACCAAATTGATAAATAAATAAATAAATAAATAAATTACATTCACTACCTACCCTATGAACAATTCTCAGCAACTCACTTATAAATTATGTTTTCTTGACGAGTCACACTGTATATTGCTATTAGGATTATTTAGTTTGATAAACAAAATGGAATCTCTCTTATCACTTTAGATGTTTACTTAATCCAAAGTGGGTTATATTCGCTTCAAAAAAATATACAACGATCGTTTAAATTAATAGATAGTAGGTAAGCGCTGCAAATGTAATAATTATTGTTGTAGTACCTATTATTTACTAATTTTATTCTAAATAATGGCTACGACGAAGGTCAGGAATAATCAAACTAAAGTCGCTGTAAGTCAAACAACTACTACAACAGTCACGGGTAAGAATATACACGAATTTTTTGTACTTACTTGTCTAATAATACGTATGAATAGTGTTTTTCGGAATTTTTTAGAAATGTATATGACTCATATAACATTAATGTATTAATTTATTTACTAGAGTGTGATTGTGTTATTTAAATAATTATAAATGTTTTGTTACGGAGGTAGGTTATTTTTTAAACAATAATTCTTGGTTAGTGCAATACATTTCCAGTTAAATAGGTATTACAATAACAGAAAAAGGTGTTGCGTGTGATGATTCAGAGTGTTTCAAATTCGTGTAGTTGTTAAAAGGTTTGGGGAAAGATTAGTATCGTTAAATTTAAGTGAACTGCAAATAAAGATATCCTATATATGGTGGTTATAATACAGTGAGCATCATAAGTCTTACCGCCCCTATCTAACTCGTTACTGGAGTCTTGTTAGGAAAATCGCCGAGACACGTCGATTTTTGATTTCTACAATATACATTTTTGTATAAATAGTTTACCCTTAATTTCATCCCTTACTGGAGTGGAGCAACCCTTTCGAAAAATTTAAATGGCATGGGGTGGTGAGTGATAGCTCATTTGAAAGGGGGTTTCATTCTCTATTCAACCGTGCAAAAAATTTTGAAATTTACTTCATTACGTGTTGATTTATTAATGTTTAAAAATAACAAAACATCACAAACAGGAAAGCAAATAAACTAACAGTGACCTTATCTAATGACAAAAGTCTTACTTCACGTCTAAACCAAAACCGATATCATGCATATCATTTTAATTCTAAGGATGAGTGTGCTACGTTAATTTTCGGTATTCTGAAAGAATAATTAGACGAGAATTAATTAGGCAAATTTCAAAATTTTTTGCACGGTTGAATAGAAAATCAAACCCCCTTTCAAATGAGCTATCACTCACCACCCCATTCCATTTAAATTTTTCAAAAGGGTTGCTCCCCTCCAGTAAGAAATGAAATTAAGGGTAAAACTATTTATATAAAAATGTACACTGTAGAAATCAAAAATCGACGTGTCCCGGCGATTTTCCTAACAAGACTCCAGTAACGAGTTAGATAGGGGGGGTAAGACTTATGATGCTCTCGGTATAGTGATTATTAAAGGGTTAACTTATTTGCATGGCTTAATATTTTTACTAGAAGTGATTTTGGAAACAAATGGATTTTTAACATATAGGGTGTTTGAAAAGTCTTTGAAAGCGCTATAATAGAAATTATTGCATACAATAAAATTACCTGTGTATTATCGAAACCCTCTGTATTTAAAAAGAAATAATAATTACAATACACGAAAATTAATACTCAAAATTAATTACCACATAAAATAAATGCATTTATTAAAAATAAAAGGAGGCTACCAGTTTCGACCCAAGGGCCTTAAAAATTAGACAAAATTGGCAAAAAGTGTTAAGTAGAAAAATAAAAATAACTTAATAATAAAAAAGACTTTCTTAATAGGTAAGTTAATTATTGATGAAGGTGGGGTGGGGTTTTCCTCATATTAAATGGCACCATCAATCATCTTTAAGTCGGCCGGAGCGCCACGGCTTTGCTTTTGGGGTTAAAATTCACTCGTAGGGGGTGAATTATGGAGAGTATTATTATTATTAGCATTAATTATTATGTGTGTCCCAATATCAGGAATATCAGAGGAAGGGATATAATTTTTAAAAAATCGAAGATGAAAGAAGGTGTGATAACTGGGCAAAATAATGGAATTGTTAATGTGTGACCAGCTAAAGGGTTCACGACTTCAGCCTGGTATAAGTCGATGGTAGTGGCGGATTTGCACATTTGCCGCCAGTAGGCTACTCTAATAAGGTGGGGTAAGGTATGTTTTAATACTACTTACACAATAATGTGCATTCGGTGTACGTAATTAAATAATTTTTATTGTGCTTACTTACAGTTAAAAACAATAATAATATATTCAATTAGCTGATGGTAACAATCCGGTTGATGATGACGATGAAATTCAATTAAGTTATGCAAGTTGTACTATACATTTTTACGAGATTTTCTATTCGCAAAGTCATCATTTATTTTGTTCATTAGTTTTGAATATGCACAAAATAGCTAAGGCGTTTAGCTTTTCTTGGCTTAAGGTAGATCTTAGATAATTTTTAACACGTTTTAAGCAATCAAAAAATTTGTCCAAGTTTGGATAAACGTTTTGTAAACTCTGTTTTCGCAGGAACGAAGATAGACTTTTCAATGATACAGAATCTGGTTTTATCAAAATTCTTTCAGAAGAAAGGTGGCATTGAAAGTTATGCATTCTTAAATTAAGTAATTCTCGATCATTAAGATACATTCCTTCCAAGAAAAGGGTGTTTTCCGTAAGGGTTGATGATGACAATACATTAATTTTTAGTCAGAAATTAAAACTTTTCGTTGAACCTGTTGTAGGCATTATACCATTTTTCTAATTCGGGCACGAGTGTATCAATGAGAACGAGACATTTTTTAACCCTGAAAGTAACATTCACTGTCACTCTCTCATTTATCTATCGGGTGTTTCATCATATTTGTTTTCCTTTTCGGTTGTCTTACCTATTTTTTGTTATTAATTGGAAATGACAAAAAAATGGAAATATCAAATGTCGAAATCTGCCAATAATGATCTAGATGTACTCGTATTTATGTGAGATTTTTTTTAAATTTAGTTCGTTCCTGAATTTTCTATGTACCAAGGCGGTCGTGGTCATAATAATTTCTCTGGTTTTAAAATATTTGATAGCCTATTGAAGATTGATTCTATGGAAACATGGACAAAATGTCTACATTCTCATTTTTTTTAAACATCGAACATGAGTGCAAAACAAAACTTCTTTTAAAATAATGTACTTAAATAAGTTTGTTATGAACACCACTTTCATTTTAAAATAAGCTTCCATTCCGCGTGTAAACTAGTCACGATTACGAACCTGCTAATTTATTTATGATGCGATTTCTCAAAAAAAAAAAAAAAAAAACAACCAATCACTAGTTGAGACGATTATGCCATTGACCTACTCGTTTGTTTATCAATAAAAAAAATCACAAGTACCTATCTGGTACGAGGATAGGCAAGTGGAATAAAATAAAAAATACTCAGCAATCATTTCAACATGCTCTTCTTAGAGTTAGAAGGATTGTACATTTAAATATACAAAATCGATAAGAATATAAATATGAGGAATGTCTAAAAAATAAGAAATTTATATAAAATGTTTTATTAATTATCTAACTACAAATAAATATCACCTTTAAAGTTATAATCAAAGAATGATCCACAAAAATGTTTCTAAAGTAGGCCATGACCGGCAAAGGCAGAGATATGAGTCATGCCCGTGATAACTATGCACGGCTTTGAATTATACGCTCCGACAAACTACCGACGTAGAGAAATTCCTACACTTATACCCTTAGATTATACAAACCTTAGATGGAACATAAGACACTGCGCATAATCCCATTTCAAAATGATTCACACCCACCAATCACAGTTGAGAACATCACATGTCAGACCGTTGTCCATCCAAATTTAATGTGTCAACGAGAATTAATTTGGTATTTTAGTGACTTAAATTTTGGATATTAACGTTGAAAATGCCAAGATGTGTTGTAAAAAGCTTTATTTATAATAAACCTGTGAAATGTGACGGAGATAAAAGAAACTTATATTTATTTCGGTGAGATATTTAATTTTTAAAGATTCTGTCGACGTCCATATTTGTCGATTTGAAAATAAACAGAATCGGACTTGGTCATTGGTACATGTTATAAGTAGCAAATAAAGGTTATTATTATAAACTGTTTACTATTTCTTGTTTCATATAGGGAATCTTATTTTAGGAAGTGAAAAGAGAAACATACAATCAAATACAAAAATATCAATTTCATTGCCAATTTATTCGTTTCAAACTTCACAACTGGTTTCAATAGTTTTCTCAAAACTATTTATTTAGTAATTATCTATAACAGTGTTACTCAAAGTGTAAAGCCAAAGTTTCCGCGAAGAAAATAATCACAATAAAAAAAACAGTACTATCGCCACAAAATGGAGGGACCTGGCTTGAGGACCGTTTTTTGGGAAGTAATTTTTTTTAAGTCACTAACAGGAAGGAGGATATGATTTTGCTTTAGGACTTTTTTTAATTCATTTTTTATGGGTGAAATGGATTTGGGATAATTTTTACAAGGAATCTTTGGAATAAATCAAAAATAAATGATGCTCTTGTGCATTTTCAGCCTGAGTTGCCGATTAAATTATTCGTAGATGCATCAAATGTGGGAATAAGGGCCACGATATGTCATGTTTAAAAAAAAAAATATTGAAAAATGTATAGCTTCTGCTTCGCGTACCTTATCAAAGTCCGAACAAAAATATTCCCAAATTGAAAGAAAGGTCCTTGCAATAATTTTTGGCTTAAATAAATTTAAAGAATATTTATATGGACATTTGCATAAAGTAGAAACATTATGCAAACTGATTACGAAAAGTTGATTATGTCACCAGTTACGAAATGAAAATAAATAAAACTGCCTTTTTTGGTTTCTAAGTTGAAAAATCGAAAAATCGTGAAATCGAGAAATTGAGAAATCGAAAATCTAAAAATAAAAAATAGAAAAATCCAAAAAACGAAAAATCAAAAAAACCAAATATCGAAAAAGAGGCAATGAATAGTGACATTTCACATTTGAAAATATGACATTACGTTTAAAAACAAAAAAGAAAACAAAAAAAGAAAAGCTGTAAATTGCGTTTAATTTTTAAAATAACACCGTTATTGAAAACTGCCCAGAAATGTTGGGGGTAAAATTTTGACGTACTTCTTTAAGGATAATGGGTAAAAATATTTTTTTTTTCAAATTTCTCGCGGGTAATGTCAAAAATTAGATCGGCAACACTGCACATGTCCCTTATTTTTATTATTACTATTGAAAAAAAAAACGTCGTAGGGCAATCAAATACAACAATTTTCTAAAATATTTGATTGGAAGTACCTACACA